CCGCGCCCGGCCGCCCCTACCTGACGTCTCGGGGCAGGTCCCGTGCATGAGGCCGAACATGTTCCCGCAGGCCTTGCTCACGGCGGCCATCTTGGCCAGCACCGGGAGGTTGTGGATGACGAAGGACACCTCGTTCCTCTGCTGCTTGGCCAGGTTCTGCGCGTGGCCCAGGATCCCGAAGCCCGTGATGTCGGTGGCCGCGTGGGCGTTGAACGTGTGCATGAGGCCTGCAGCTGCGAGAGGGCGGGGCTCTGAGCGGGGTCCGGGGGTCCCGCGGGGAGTCGCGCAACGCGGCACCGAACAGCAGCAAAGCCAGAGTGAAATGCCGAAAGCGGATTTCTTGCTCCACCTGAACTACCCGAAAGTGACCAGAAGCTTCAACCAATGGCGGTTTCACGGCCAAGCGGCAAGAAGCGGAAGAGGGGAGAAGGTCTCAGCGGAAGGCAAGCCTGCCGAGTCCCGCCTGACATCAGAGCAGGGCGCGGGACTCAGGCCAGGCGCGGTGGCTCACGCGGGACGTCCAGCCCTCTGGGAGGCCGAGGCGGGAGGGCCGCCCGAGCCCACGGGCTCGAGACCTGGCCTCTGCACGTCAACCAGAAAACCAGCTGGGCGGCGTGGTGCACACCTCACGTTCCAGCCTCTTACTTCAAGGGCTGAGGTGGCAAGATCTCCTGAGCCCAGCAGGTCATACTGGGATGGCCGTGAATGTGCCACTGCACTCCAGCCGGGGTGAAGGAGTGAGATGACTCAAAACCAAGCTACTCCTGTTAAAGATGAAGTGTCTGACAGCTTAATTTAAAGTATGAAGACCGCTGGGAGCAGCTTTGGGTCTCGAGAGCAATTAAGCAGGAAGTGCAGGGAGCCGCCATCATTTCCCCTTCCCCCCAGCACCACCTGACTTGGCGTGTTGCATTCTTGTAGCACATTTGCGATCAACACTAACACGTGACTGGAAAGCCCACAGTTGACATCAGTGATCACTCTTTGCTGCCCATTCTAGGAGTTTTACACGACCACGTGTCTGACGTTACATCATCACACAGCAGTCCACCGCCCTAAACATCCTGTGCGCCCTGTCTGTTCGCCCTCCTCCCCCAGACCCTGGCAACCACTGATCCCTTTACTGCCTCTGCAGTTTGTCCTTTTCTAGAAGGCTGTATCGTGGGAATCATGCCGCATGGAGCCTTTTGGATTGGCTTCTTCCACTTAGTAATCTGCACCTAAGGCTCCTCTGTGTCTTTTCATGGCTTGAGTGCCTTTCTTTTTACTGCTTAATAATCCATCGTATGGATACACCAGTTTACCCACCCACCCAAGGAAAGAATGAATGGCTGCTTCCAAGTTTTGCCAAGTATGAGCAATGCTGCTGTGAATATTTGTGTGCAGGCTTTTGTGTGAGGTTTTTTTTTTTTTTTGAATTGTAGTCTCACTCTGTTGCCCAGGCTGGAGTGCAGTGGCACACTCATGGCCACCCTGGCATTGATCTGCTGGGCGCCGACCATCCTTCCACCGCAGCCTTCCAAGTAGCCAGAACTACAGGTGCATGCTACCAGACCCGGCTAATTTTTGATTTATTGTAGAGATGAGGTCTCTCCAAGTTGCCGGAGCTGGTCTCAAACACGTGGGCTCAGGCAATGCACTGGCCTTGGCCTCCCAATGTGCTGGGATAACAGGTTGAATCACAGAGCCCGGCCCGTGAATGGGCTTTTAACTCCTCTGAATAATTATCAAGGAGCACAACTGCTGGATCATATAATGAGACATTTTGTTTTGTAAGAAACTGCCAGACTGTTTTCCAAAGTGGCTCGACCACTTTTCATTCCTGCCAGCAATGGGCAAGAAGTTCCTGTTTCTCCACATACTTGCCAGCACTTGGTGTTATCAGTGTTCTGAATTGTAGCCACTCTAACAGGTGTGTAAAGGCCACACTATCAGGTATATGGGGGTATCTCATTGTGGCTTTATTCTGTAATTCCCTAATGACATACGACACTGAGCTTCCTTTTATATGTTTATTTGCCATCTTCTTTGGTGAGGTGTCCGCTAAAGGCTTTAGGTCATTTTCTAATTGGGTTGTTTTCTTATTGTTGAGTTTTAGAATTGTGTATTTGGATACCAGATATGTTTTTTGTAAACACTCTTCCCCCAGTCTGTGGCTTAGGCTTGTTTTTCATCATCTGTCATTCACAGAACAGTTTTCTGTATTAATAAAACCCAACTTACCAATTTTTTCTTTCGCAGACAGTGTTTTTGGTGTTGTATCTAAAAAGGCCAAGGTCACCTCAATTTTGTCCTGTGTTCTCTTGCTGGAGTTTATATTGTTGTGTTTTATATTGAGGCCTGTGGCTCGTTTGGGGTTACTCTTTACAGAAGGTGTAACGCGTGTCCAGAGTCATTTCTGCATGTGGATGCCCACTTGTCCCAGCACCATTTGTCTCTGAAAGATGACCTTTCCTCTGCTCTATGGCCTTTGCAGCTTTGTCAATGGTCAGTTTGACTGGTGTGGATCTGTCTTTGGGTTCTCTATCCTGTTCTTCTGATCTATAACTTTTAAGTTTCTTACAGGATAAAAATTATAAAAATTTTAATTTCAAAATAAATTGTTCAAAAGTAGGCCCAAGATAATTATGGCACACATCTGTCTTGTAGAAGATTATCTAACCACTAAAAAGTATGTGTACTAGGATATATTATATGGAAAAAAGATTTTGGTAATGTAAAATAAGTAAAAGTGAACTCCAAGTACATATACAACTTATGCTAACAACTACTGTGAAACAAAAGTAAACTACGTACCAAATAATTAAAAAGTCTTAGAAGAAGACATAAAATACTAATAGATACTGTTTTTGGGTGGTGGGACTATGAACAATTTTTCTCTCTACTATTTTTCATTTTCTAAAAACCTTTTAAAATGTAGCACACCATCGTCAACTGTGGAGAACATCCTGAAAGAGTTTGGCACTGCCTAGAAAGACCAGGAGCATTATTGACCTCAGAACACCCATGCAACAGAAGGCATGGCCAAGGACCTCAGGGCAGTCACCCAGTGTCCACCAACAGTAGCCCAGAGGAGGCAGTCACCCAGTGGAAAGTTACACAGTGGAGAAAAGAAAACAACTACAGCTAGGGAAGGGAACAAGGCAAAGGAGCATTACACGGTGGCTGCAACAAGTAAAAAATACAAAACTGGTGGAACGATGGCAATTATCTCATGGGCCTGACCTGAAAAGAAGGGAATACTCAATGCTGATCACTTGAAAACTACAACAACAATAACAACAACAAACTTGGGAAAAAAATGCAAAATTAATTTATGGTTTAACAATGTAAGTCCATGTGATAAAAAATATTCTAAAATGCAAGGAAATAAACACAGAATTCAGGGGTTACCCCTAAGCAGGAATGCAGAAGGTGGGAGAGGGTGGAGACAGGGGTGCCTTCTGGGCTTTGGAGGTCATGTTTTGGAAATTGACAGCTGCAGAATATACATGTTCTAAATTTCCATTCTGAATGCTGGCTTGCTTCAATCATTTACACAGAGCAAAACACACATGCTTTCTATAAACAGTTCCTCCCGCATATCAGAGGTTAGGACTTCAAGACCCCAAGAAGTACTTCCTTCTTAATTATAAAATATAACAGGCATGTCCTCTATACACATGAAAGCCAATATGTAAAGTATATGATGCTTACACTATGTGTCAAGCACTTCCCCTGGCAAACTCTTTTCTAATACAAGACACATTCAATACTCATTTCTGTTGGGAACACATGATATACTTGGATTCTCACTATAGATGTTCCTTGACTTACCTACCTTTTATTTATTTATTTTTTGAGTTGGAGTCTCACTCTGTCGCCCAGGTTGGAGTGTAGTGGCCGCTCCCGGCCACCGCAGCCTCGACCTGATGGGCTCCGGTGATCCTTCCGCCTCAGCCTTCCAAGTAGCCGGAACTATAGGCGCACGCTACCACGCCCGGCTAATTTTTTGATTTATTGTAGAGATGAGGTCTCGCCAAGTTGCCCAGGTGGGTCTCGAACCCACGGGCTCAGGCAATCCACTCACCTCAGCCTCCCAAAGCGCTGGGATTACAGGCTGAGCCACCGAGCCTGGCTGACGTACCTAGCTTAAATGTATTCAGAACACTTAGCCTACAGTTGGGCAATTTCATCTAATAGAAAGCCTATCTTTTAATAACGTGAATACTTCATATAATTTTCCCCCTCCCCACTTCAATAAGCTGGTCCAAAAGACTTCTTTAAAAAACACGAGATGGGGTCTCACTATGTTGCCCAGGCTGGCCTCGAATTCCTGAGCTCAAGGGACCCCCTGCCCCAGCCTCCTGAGTAGCTGGGACTACAGGCGTGTGACAATGGCCCCCATAATGGAATTTACTGACTACTATACTGATAAACACAGGATGGTTGTATGAGTATTTGAAGTATGGTTTCTACTAAATGCACACTGCTCTCCCACTGTTGTAAAGCTGAAAATTGTTGAACCATAGTAAGTCGGGGGCTGCCTGTAGTAACCTAAGGATAGAAGACGGTCTGTAGTCACTGGCCACATCTGGCCCAGGGCCTGTGTCTCCAGTTAAGAGGGGTTTTTCACATGTGGGGAAAAACCAGGAGCAATCGAGACGGCACGAGGCCTGCAAAGTCCAGGACCTTTACCACCTTGGCCCTTTCACACCCGGCCGTGGATGAGCCCCCGCCCACCATACCTGTCCTGTTGAGCCTTGCCATGTTCATCATCGCCTCCTGGTAAGCCAACTCGACATCTTCCTGGGTGACCACGAGCTTAATTTTATTCCACTTTTCAGGCTAATGACAGGAACACAGGCGAGGGAGAGAGGGGAATGTGATTAACCTTCACTTCTAACCACCGACACCAAGAGCAAACTGCTTCTTAGTCATCTTCTAGGGAAGTTTTAAGTCTTTGATTGTGCACAGAAAACTAAGCTTCCTAACACCCTGGTTTTCCTGTGCTTTGTATTCCAAGTGTCCAGGATGCCTAGAATGGGATCCAGTATCGCCATGCCCTCCTGGCTGCCTAAGCCCGCAGGACATGTGGAGCCGTGCTGCCCTACCCACCAGGTGGCAGCCAGCTCCTCTTTCAGGGCATAATTGCACTGCTGACAGCTCAGAGTCCCCTGGTTCTGCTCCTCAGCTTCCTGGTAAACTGACGGCTTTCACTTTTTCATATTACAATTACACTTTTACTGACTTTCACTGAATTCTGGAGTCAAGCTATTTTGATGGACAAGCAAATGAATGTGAAAACAACTTCACTGGCAAGTGTGCCCAAGATAGCACAGCCTCAGGCGACCAAGAAGGAACTCATAAAGAGGACAAAAAGGTCGTTCTCTTTTTTCCTCAGTCTGATTTTCAAAGAATCTAGCATCACAATGCTGCGTGTGTGACAAGGTGCCCTCAGAGTCCATTAACTGCCCTCATTTGTATACCCACTTATTTATTTTTTGGAGTCAGGGTCCCACTCTGTCACCCAGGCTGGAGGGCAGTGGCACGATCATGCCTCACTGCAGCCTCAACTTCCTAAGCTCAGGTGATCCTCCTGGTTCAGCCTCTTAAGTAGCTGGTACTGTAGGCATGCGCCACCATGCCTGGCTAATTTTTATTTTTACTTTTGTAGAGCCGAGTCTCACTATGCTGCTCAGGCTGGTCTTGAACTCCTGGCCTTAAGCAATCCTCCCATCTCGGCCTCCCAAAGTGCTGGGATTATAGGCATGAGCCACTGTGCCCATCCTATTTTTTAATAATATAAAGAAAACCCAATAATTTACCACCAAACACAGTAACTAGACACGAGCAGTACCTTCTGTCTGCCTAGGTCCCACTGTCGCTGTTTCTCTTTGAGAGGTTACAATGATTCTTGATTTTGACTCATCATTCCCTGCCTCTTACAAACAGTATTCTCATCATAAAAATGCCTAAACAATATAGTCCTTGGTTGTTTGTGACCTTAAAAGCTTACTGTGCTATTACATAGTCTTTGGAACTTGCTTTTTTCACAGTTCCAAACATTTTTTAAAACAGTGGTTAAAGGCCGGGCTCGGTGGCTCAGCCTGTAATACCAGCACTATGGGAGGCCGAGGTGAATGGATTGCCTGAGCCCGTGGGTTCGAGACCCGCCTGGGCAACTTGACGAGCCCTCATCTCTACAACAAATCAAAAATCAGCCGAGCGTGGTAGCGCGTGCCTGTAGTTCCAGCTACTCGGAAGGCTGAGGCGGAAGGATCGCCGGAGCCCAGCAGGTGGAGATTGCGGTGGCCGGGAGCAGCCACTGCACTCCAGTCTGGGTGACAGAGTGAGACTCCAACTCGAAAAAAAAAGAGAAGGAAAAAAAAGAGCAAGGTAGTGTCAAGTTGGGGTGGGAGGACAGAGGGATCCCAAAAGCCCGACATCCCTGACACCTCTGGCCTCGCCTGCCTGGTCAGCCAGGCCTGGTGGTTGGACTGGAAAGCCCTCTCTGACCAGCCCCGGTAATGGCCCTCTGATGTATGTTCCATCAGTGCGAAGAAGAAGCACAGCTAACGGTCCCCGCCGCCTCAGGATTCTACTCGGCTACAGCAGGCCAAGGTAGACCGGCTGGTGAAAGACGATCACTGAGCATTCTTTTCCAGCTGTTTCTCAGGACTAGCAGTTTCACACGACAGTTGTAGAAAGGAAATGCACCAAGATATGTGAGAAGATACCACAATCTTACCAATTTGTGAACTGCTATGGCAATGAAAAACAACCTTAAGTAAATTGTGACTATAAGTCAGTGGGAAATGAGGAGAAAGACCCTCACATCCTTGGTTCATTCTTCATGGCAGAATTATTTATCCAAACGTTCTGAGGCACTTACCAGTTTCAAAAGACAAAACTACCAAACCAGAACAGCCAAAAACCCTATGACTAAAACAATTTAAACTGTCAATAACTGGCCTTACTTAGACCCAAAGCACCACACTTTCCACAAACTCTCCTCCACATTACTTTTTCGTGATGCTTAAGGTGTGAGAGACGAAGCTATGTTAGCACCCAATACACAGACAAAGCTAACCCTCTGCCTCCCGAATGCTTCAGAGACAATCTCTGAAGTCCCGAGCTGGGACTTATCTACTTCAAGCATGCAATATGTGAAACTTTCATTTAGTAAAGGAATACAGACAGTTTCCAGCACTTCTTTTAAGGACTTGACCGATACTAAATTGCCTAGTGGTAAAACTAAAAAGCCTCATTTTCCAACCCTCCAACAGAATTACCTGGAAACGTGCCCCCCCATCATCATAGTGGTTTTACTCACGATGTCCAGCCACTGGTGCACAGCCACCGCAACTTGTGTCCCCAGGGGCTTCGTCAGCACCAGCACGTCCCCTGGCACAGCATTATCCGGCCTGAAGGAAAGACAGAGGGCAAGTTCTAGTCACTCTAACCAAGGAGAGAATTCCGCACTATCAGAACAGGAGAAGGGGAATTCTGGTAAAAACGATCTGCTTTTGTACCTCCTTAAATCTAGGCACCTGCTGAGGTACTAAACAGAGCTCGCCTCGTGCTACTGAGGCAACTGCTGGGACAAAACATTCAGCCTCAGGGTTCACCTGGCCCCACAGGAGCCCGGTGTGTAATTTTCACGGGAGACCCACTGCATTCTGGAGCAGTAGGGGGTGACGAGGCTTCCAAAACGAAGACTGCTTGCTTATGACCACAATAGGAGAGACGGGGGGTGGGGGAGGATTTCTTGAGCCACAGGATTTGACGGGAACCTGTGGGTCTGATGACTTGATTTCTGCAGTCAGAATGACCAACAGTGAGCTTCCTAGCGGGTGCCCAAGCGCCCTGGGTACCTCCTGCCTTAAAGACAGAAGGCAATACTAGAAAGGCAGCCCTAAAAAGATGACTGGTGCCCCGAAGAAAACATCCACCCTATTTCCTATTTGTGTCCTCACGACCAGGATGCGGCCCTGACAGCTGCCCCTTCCCCAGCTAGAGCTGTCCACAGCAGTCCCATCCCTGATTCCGGACTCCTCAAATACTCACCTAAGTCAGTGAAAACAAAGCCAGGGCACAAACTTCAACCCCAACACCCTGCTCCCCAACTCAGCCTCTGCCACTTGTCTCCACTCTCAGCTTTGAAAAATATAATTCTGCCAGATGCAATGGCTCACGCCTGTAATCCCAGCACTTTGGAAGGTCAAGGCAGGAGGATCGTTTGAGGCCAGGAGTGGAGACCAGCCTGGCCAACACAGCGAGATCCTGTCTCTAAAAGAAATTTTAAAATTAGCTGGGCATGGTGGCAAGTGCCTGTAGTCCCAGCTGCTTGAAAGGCTGAGGCAGGAGGATCACTTCAGCCTAGGAGGTTGAGGTTGCGGTGAGCTAAGATGGTGCCACTGCACTCCAGCCTGGGTGACACAGTGAGACCCTGTCTCTTAATAGTTTAAAAAAAAAAAAGAAGGAAAGAAAGAAAAATATTTCACTATACAAGAAACTCATTTTTCAAAAATCTGACCTGAAGACGTGTATCTTTCACCTTGGACTCGGCCATGCTGGTTTTACCCATTCCTTCCCCACCACCGATTTTTTGTTACCACTAAGTTAAGTAGACAGTTTGAGAACTACTGACATAAAACATGTGCTGGGAAAATAAAACCTTGATGTAAGTAAAATGCAAGATCCTTAACAGGAAAGCCGTCAAACACTGACCCTAAAAAGAGTGTCCATCAATTAAAAAATGGGCTCAACCTAAGAATAAGGTTAAAAACCACCCAACAGATCGGCACAGACCCAGAAGTCGGTTAACATACCGTGTTGGTTAGGATGTGGGGTCACCGATACTCTCATTCATTACTGCTGGAACATAACTTGGTAGCAAAATTACAGGCAGGCATACTATCTGACCTAGCAGTTCTCTTTGGAGAAATTTCTTACCTATAGACTCATACATGTACAAAATGACCTAAGTATAAGGTAACTCGGCAGGGTAATATTTATAATGTCAAAATAATTGAAAATAATCCCAATGTGTGTCAGTAGACTGGTTACAAATATACACAAGAAAGGCTGTCCCTGGGGAGGGCCTTTATGTTGCAGACCCTTTGCGCACCTTTTGCATTTTGAACCATGTGAGGATAGTACCTCACCAGTACCTATTCAAACTAAAAGAGTTTCTACTTCCTTCAGAAAATAGGACAGAAGGCTGGGCATGGAGGCGCACGTCTGTAATCCCAGCACTTTAAAAGGAGGCTCAGGTGGGAGGACTGCTTGAGCCCAATAGTTCAAGACCAGCCCAGAAAACACACTGAGACTTCATCTCTACAAAAATAAAAATATTAGCTAGGTATGGTGCTGGAGTGCTCCGCCTCCCCACACTTTGGGAAGCGGAGGCAGGAGGACTGCCTGAGCCCAGGGAAAGGAGAGGAGCCTGGGCAACTTGGTGAGACCTTGTGTCTACGGTAACTCAAAAATTACCAGGTGGGGTGGTGCACATCTGGAGCTCCAGCTACTTGGAAGGCTAATGTAAAAGCATCACCTGAGCCCAGCAGGCAGAGGCTGCGGTGGCCGTGACTGTGTCACTGTACTCCTGCCTGGGTGAAAAGAGTGAGACTCTGACTCAAAATTTAAAAAAAAAAAAAGATGCAGTGCTAACTTATGCTACAACTTAGAAGAACCCAGAAAACATTATGTTAAGTGAATGGAGCCAGACACAAAATGTCACATATTGCATGATTCTATTTATATAAAATGTCCAGAACAGGCAAATCCCTGGAGACAAAAAGTACATTAGTGACTACCAGAGGAGGGGAGGAGGGAACTGGGAGTGACACAGGGTTTCTTTTCGGGGAGACAGAAATGTTCTGGAATTGGTTAGTGGGGATGGGTGTACAACCTTGCGATGACTAAAACCCAATAAACTGTATACTTTAACATGCTGAATTATGTCACACGAAATTTTTTTTTTTGAGTTGGAGTCTCACTCTGTCGCTCAGGCTAGAGTGCAGTGGCTTGCTTACAGTCATCCCAGCATCGACCTGCTGGGCTCTGGCGATCCTTCCAAGTAGCCGGAACTACAGGTACGCGCTATCATGCCCGGCTAATTTTTTGATTTTATCATAGAGAGGAGGTCTCACCATGTTGCCCAGGCTGGTCTCAAACCTGTGGGCTCAGGCAATCCTCTCCTCAGCCTCCCAAAATATACCCAAAATCATGAATCATACACTTTAAATAAGTGAATTACACAGTATCTGAATTAAACCTCTATATATCCATTTCTAAGAAGAGAGAGAGAGGGGAGAAAGAGAATGAGAAACAGGCCACATGAAACAAAACAAAAATCAACTTACATAATGAATTCATTGGGCTGGCAGACAGTCGTAGCGACTCCTCCCAAAACAATCCAAGGATTTAACACTGTTTGGCCACCCGTTACAGACGTTCCTGCTTCCTCTGCTGCATCTTTGAAACCCTGTATAATCAGGGGCATCACTTTATCCCTTTCCTATGGTTTAAAAAAACACAAATAAAAAGTCAAATAATTACATTCAAAACCCAGAAAAGAGGATTCTACGCTCGTAGTTATAAAAAGGATCATAAAATCCTTGAAGGTGCTGGGTGCAGTGGTTCAAGCCT